TTTGCAGTGTACACTTGGAAATGAGCAGCTCTCTCGGGCGCATAGTGGATTACATGTTGGTCTGCTAACCATAAGGTTGACAGTTTAAACCCACCAGCAGCTCCTTGGGAGACAGATGAGGCTTTCTACTCCTGTAAAGATTTAGCGCCTTGGAAACCCACAGGGGAAGTTCTACACTTTCCTGTAGAGACACTATGAATCAGACTCGATTTAATAAATGTCTTCATTTCTTAGTTTGTTTTTTAGGTTTAAATAGGGTTCTGCCAGTCACTGGCTGCATTTAAAATTTTTTTAAAAAAATCATTTTATTGGGGCTCATACAACTCCTATCACAATCCATACATACATCAATTGCGTAAAGCACACTTGTACATTCGTTGCCCTCATAATTCTCAAAACATTTGCTCTCCACGTAAGCCCCTCACATCAGCTCATTTCCCCCCTCCCTCCCCGCTCCCCCTTCCCTCATGAACCCTTTATCATTTGTAAATTATTTTATCATATCTTACACTGTTTGACATCTCCCTTCACCCACTTCTCTGTTGTTCATCCCCCAGGGAGGGGGCCACATGTAGATCCTTGTAATCGGTTCCTCCTTTCCACTCCACCTTCCCTCCTCCCTCCCGGTATCGCCACTCTCAGTACTGGTGCTGAAGGGATCATCCGTCCTGGATTCCCTGTTTCCAGTTCCTATCTGTACCAGTGTACATCCTCTGGTGTGGCCAGATTTGTAAGGCAGAATCGGGATCATGGTAGTGGGGGTAGGGGGGAAGCATTTAGGAACTAGAGGAAAGTTGTATGTCTCATCGTTGCTACACATCACCCTGACTGGCTCGTCTCCTCCCCGCGACCCTTCCGTAAGGGGATGTAGGAACCTGTTGTGCAGTGCCATTGCGTTGGCTCTGATTCGTAGCAATCCTATGTACAACAGAAGCAAACACTGCCCTGTCCTGCGCCTTCCTCCTAATTGTTATGCTCAAACCCTGTTACAGTTAAGGGCCTTGTCATTGACCGTCTACTTTTCCAGTTCAAGGGACTGGTCTCTCCTGATGTCCAGTCTCTCCATGAAAGCCTCCTATGGATCAGGCACTGTGCTAATTGATTAGTATTTGCTATCTCAGCTCACAAGTCACACGTAGATTGTTACAAACTTGTGACTAAGCCGTTGGTCTCTAACAAATGACACATCACAAAATTGAATGATTCACAAAATGTGCATTCCCACTCCTGTCTAGCACTGCCTTGTTTATGCCTAAAGTTAAAAATAGGGCTGCAAACTTGTGTTTGAAAAATGTAGTCATAAATACGGGCATATGTGTAAAAATTTACGTTTCGAAAGAAATCCAGTTATACTTTATGATTGGCTGGAACTGACACTTCTAGATATTGGGCTAAATTAGCTTCAATAAATGAGAGTAATGCTTATTATAATTTATGGTTACGACCCTTAAAAGGAACAGTGAATAATTATATCCCATTTAGAAATGATGAATTAAGCCCCTGAGCAAGATACTATAAAATGGGCAACCTTCACCAAGTAAAGGAGCCCTGGTGGTGCAGTGGTTAAGCATTGGGCTGCTAACTCCAAGGTCAGCCGTTTGAAACTGCCAGCCAGCTCTGAGGGAGACAGACTAAGCTTTCTACTCTCATACAGTTAGTCTTGGAAGCTCACGGGGCACTTTTTACTCTGTCCTACAGGGACACTGAGTCAGAATTGACCTGATGGCAGTGGGGTGCTGGTTTTTAGGGTTTCACCAAGTAGGGAAAAGTATAACTTAAGGCTGTTCAAAATATACTTTTTACCCTGATGGCTGTGTAGGAATTTTAAGTATTCTATATTTCAAGATAGAAAGCGTCTAGCCCAGTGATCCTCAACCTGAAGGCTATAAACTCCAGCAGCCTACGAGATTATTATAAGCTAAGCAATCATTTATCCATGTGAGGTCCAAATGTTGCCTCAAAATTTACAAATCAACCTTCACAGCAAATGTAGGTCTGGTTGTATGATGGTTAGGGATTACGATGCCTGGGTAAGGGTGGGGTCGCGGCTTGATGACACCTCCATGATGTCATACATTTATGAGAGAGAGAAAAAGACCACCAAATTCACGGATGCTTTTGGTCATTCTGTATCTTATTAATCATTGGGCTACTTAAATATAATTAAGTACTTTCACGAGGACCCATAAAATTCTGACATCTTGAATTTTCCAAGTGTTTATGAAAGACTTCTAACACACAAAACTCCCATTCACCTGATTAATACTTCGGTAAAGACATTTGACAGGTCTATACAGGAGCTGGAGCCTTGGTGATCCAGTGGATTAAACATGGGGCAGCTAACCAAGTTTGGCAGTTCAAACCCACCAGTCACTCCACACAGAAAGGGTCTATCTGCTTCCATAAGTTTATGGCCCTGAAACCCCCCACTATGCTGCAGTTCTGTTCTATAGCAGTATGTGCTGGAATCAACTCTGCAGCACAGATGTAGTTATTATATAGGTTACTTCCTGGGCTGCTAACCACTAGCTGCTCCACAGTAAAAAGGCAAGGCTTTTTCTGCCCATAAAGGCTTACATTCTCAAAAACCTGGGTCTACTCAGTCCTATAAGGTCGCTGAGTCAGAAGGGACATGACAGTAAAAAGGATGCAGTTAGACCAACTAGCAAGTCTAAAATGGAAATCCGATCTTTTGCTTACTGCAAAACTAGCACTGTAACTAAGGTTTGCAAGCTAAAGATGGTAAGCAGTTTTTGTTTATTTACCTTTCCTTAAATGAGTACAGGCTGCCTTACACATTTAGGCAACACATTCTTGGTCCCTTAAAGTGTTTTAAAGGGAAAATGGCTTTCCTTTTGCTTATTTCCCCCTAGGAGTTTTAAAGACCCCAAACCCAGACTCTTGCAGCACTGGACCAAGGATGGAATAGACAGAAGACCTGGCTCCAGATATGGGCCCTCAGGGACCGTTGTTCAGAGGCGGTGGGGTTGCAGGGCCCGGGCTGCCTCAGCTGAGGCAGGTACAAGTGTGCAGCGCTAGGTGCAAACCTGCTTCCTCTTGACTTGCTCCCTCCTGTTCTGCTTCCACTCGTTCTTCAAGCTCTTGTTTGCTCCTTCCGCCTCCTGCCAGCAGCTCCAGTGGCAGCAAGGGCGATCAGAAGTGGGCTCCCATGAAATGGTGTTTGCACAACATCCAAATCACACAATGTCCCATTTCACAGGACATGGAATTAAATATCGTACATACCTGTCATGAACTCAATAAACCACAAGGGCCTGTTCTTAAAATCTTAACAGGATCTTTACAAGGCAAATGTATCTGGTTTCTATTTGTAAATAATATTATCAATAGTTGATATGGGACATCACAAATTTTTCACATCAGGGGTACCAAAATTAGATTTTTATCATTTATATTTTTCTTTCCCCAAAAGTTCACTTCACAGATGAGAAAGCCAAACACCTGAAAGGGTTAGTTGAGTGGTTTGTCCAGGATTTTAAGAAGGTTATACTAGGAGGAAAAAGATAACTGCCACAACTTAGTAATATTAAGTGATGGGTATTAAACTCTACAAAAATACCATGCAGGATTTCCTAAATGTATTTCGTTAAGTCCCAATCAAGGATAACAAGAAATATTTTGTGGTCATTTACCCTAACTGAAAGACAAAACAAAACAAACTCACTTCTCATTTAAATTGACAGCATGGTATTGTGTGGGTATTGAACAGATTCTTTTGCAAGATCAGCATTTCAGGGCCTGAGGAATTTTTAATAAATATAAAAAGTTCTTAAACAAGTGGGTTTGCTGCAAATGGCACAGTTGGGGTTTAGAACCCTAAACCCACTGCATTGAATTGATTTTGACTCAGTGATTCAAAAGGGCAAAGTAGACTGCTCCTTAGGGTTTCTAAGGCTGTACGTCTACATGGGAGCAGAGAACCTCATCCCCAAGGAGCCACCGGTACAGTCAACTCAGTGCGCCACCAAGGCTCCTTATAGTTACACCCAAACCCAACCCACTGCTACCAAGTTCATTCCAACTCATAGTGACCCTACCTATATAGGGTCCCCAGGGCTGTGCTAGCTCTACAGAAGCAGGCTCATCTTTCTCCCTTGGAGCAGATAATAGGTTTGAACTGATTGACCTTACACCCAGCAGTTCAAAACTTACCTGACAGTGCCACCATGGTCCATTTTATAATTATAAAGAGATCTAATGTTATTAAAAATTTAGAAAATTAATGTTTTTAATTACACACATTAAAAACCCTTTTTGTCTGTAGCAAGGGTAGGAAACATCTGGCCCGTGAAAGCATCGATACCAGCCAACCTAACATGCTTCACCCAAGAGTCCTTCTAGCCAACACATTAGGGATGAGTTAATTGAATGTTTGTCCACGATGGCCTGCGTGCGATGTTATGAATACCCAAACGGTTCCCACTCCTGGTCTATAGGATTGTATAACATTGAGCTATTTCATGGGTTTGCTGGAATTCTTTGCCTGGGAATCTTAACCATCATTAAAAGGATTAAGTTCCAGTTCCCTGAAGTGGTCCAAATTACAGCCCTGCTTGCAGGAACAAACATATCAAATGCCTTTCAGGTTTTAAATCCTAGAACCATTAGAAAATTTAATCGCATCCCACAATTCTTAACTCAGTTCAAACATACAAAATTTTAGTATTTCAAAAAGATGGCACAGGGAAACAGTATGCTAGACGTGCTCACGTTGACAGAAAGCAGGGAGTGCTTAAGAGCTGACACACTCTTACAATGCCTTTTTGTATTTCCTTCAACACCTGTGGAAGACGACTTCATGATACAAGTCTTGCCCGTGCCCAAATACTTGCCTGTAAAGCAACATTTTCACTCTTTTCTTGTGACTTACGGGCAATTGTAAGTCTCAGGGCGCTCAATCACACAATCATCAACTGGCATTTAGCGACCATCATATTATGTGCTGAACTCAAATGGAACCAGAACAACAAAAGTTTTAAAGGTTTATCAGAACTTTTATTTTTGCCTAATTTTATTAAAAAAATAAATATGTCATAAAGCTTTTTTTTCTTCAGGGAGAAAAAAGGAACAAGTTTCATAAAATCAAATAAGCAGTGGTAAGGTGTCCGAACTTGAAAAAGATTGGGAATCACTGGTTTACAAGGCTATAATCAAATGAAAGAACTGACTCAAAGTAACAGCCACAGTTGGCTGTTTCATGCCAATGACAGCAAACAACAGGATCAACTAGGGCAAAATAAATAACTGCGTGGAAGCCCTGGTAAGTGCTTAAACAGGTTGATTCACTGAGACACCAGTACAGATATATCTTGCCTAAACAACACAGAATTTCCTGATAATTTGTGTAAATGAAATCATTGCAGACATACTAGGAGAGCTTGGTAGCTGAAGGAATTCCGTGGTGAATAATCTTGAATAACCACCTCCACATTTGTAAATCCAAGAATTGTTTTGTTTAAGCCGAAGTATACCTAGCTGCTACTTCTTAGAACCGAGGTATCGCACATTCACCTAACAGTGCTCCAGCTGGGCCAGTGGAACAATTTCCAAGTTTGTGTTTCTATTAAATAAGTAGTGTCAGATTCAGTCAGCCAGGGAACCGAGGTGCATCTGGCAGAGCAGGCCTCAGGGTGGGATTATCACCCTGAACAGTAATTCCAAGTCAACAAATACTTTTGAAGAGGCTACTTTGTACAAAGCACAGTAATAAACCTTATCAATTTGGTTGTAGATGTACTTCCTTTTTTAAGACCTTTAATGAAGTGCTTGCTAGGCCTGGAACCCCCAACCCCCAGATCAAGTACTACTTCTAACCTCAAAACTGGCACAACCAAATTAGCTGCCTAACTCCTTTAAATTGAGGTCGAGGACAATGGAAAAGATTTGAGTTTTTCATGGCTGATGTTGAGCAACATAAGAATCTTACATAAATAGTAAGTAAAAAAGGTTGCTGGTGAATCAAATTTTCCGAATAGTTCTTTTTACTCCCTTAACATACCTCCGAACACTCAGGCACACTGCTGAACAGTTAAGCCGCTGATGCCCTCCAGTTGGGTGATGTGTTTCAGTCCTGCTGATAGAAATATAAATTTCTTTCTAGCCACCCGAATCTCATGAACGTATCTTACACTGGAACAGGGAGGCTTTGGATGTGGCTGTACCAGTTCGGGTCAGTTTTACCACTGTAAATAAATACAACCCTTACTTGGCTCACAGCTTCCATTTCAATCGCCCTAACTTCTGACAGGCCCAAGCCAGATTTACTCAGCCAGGTTAATGTTCAGTGTATTTTACTTTTTAGATGCGTCGAGTAACATCGCTGACTCAATGTACAAGTGTGAATTGAAAAGTATATGCAATCTGTAGTCTTTCCCACACTCGGTATACGAACAATTAGTATGTAATTAAAGGATAAATGGTCATTTAAAAATGCGTTTTCCTTAAAAAAATGAAAACAAAAGCAACTCTCTTTCTAGCACTTAAAAAAATGGGTCTGAAAAGTGCCCTATGGATGTCCAATACTGTTCCCCCCCCCAGACCCCCCATCCAAAACCTGCTACAAATGCTGGCTTGAGTTCTTATCAAATAAGTTAGCAGTACCAAGATTTTTCAAATGGAAACAGTGTTGTTGACTTCTTCATATTGAATAACAAAATAAGGGTAACTCTGGTCATCATTAAAAATGACAAAAATCTGAGGCTCAAAGAAATTATCCACACAAGAGTCATACAGGTCACTGGTGACGCTGCTGGGATTGACTGGAGGGGGTCTTCTCATGCCATGACTACCCATCGTGTATCTGCCAGTCAGTACTTTGGCCAAAAACATGAAATGGACTCCTTTGGAGGACTTCTTGGAAAAGTTATGAGAGTAGCTGGCCTTCTTTGCAAAATAACTGCCTTGTCCAAACATAGTAGCATGCTTTCCGCAGACTCGAGGGTCAAAGTTGTGCTTGCAGATTCCATCGACAACATCCTGGGATGTTCCATGAAACAAATGTCTCTCGTTTATTATTCTGTCACGGCCAAACATTTTCCTGTTCATATATTCCTTTTTCCTAATGCAGAGGGGGTGGGGAATTTTAAAGATGTATCAATTTAACAGGCATCTGACAGCTGTAGATAGAAAGCTTCTCTTTATGGTGTCAATGGGGAGGCAATATAAATTAGCAACTGAGGGCAAAGGCTACCAAAGAGCATAGTGAAGTTTGACCTGGGCTTTCTCGTTCACTGCCCAGCTAACTCTTACAGCTACCCTTCCCCTGAGGACGGTCACCTGGCCCCAACTCCAGCAAGCCTTTATCAGCTCTGAACCCTCGGACCTGCCTCGGTTCCCTCGGAAGTGCCTCTACCAACTTGAACGGCAGCACGGGGAAGCGCTTAAAAGGGAGGCCTCCGATGCTGGGCTGCCTGGGCTAACACCTCAAACCCCCCCGCCCCCCCCACCTGCTCGGCTGTATGCCCTGTAGCAAGCTAAACGTTCTCGAGAATGTATAAACCTCTACACTCCGAACTCAGAAAAAGTCAACAGCAGCAACCCTACTCAGAGGTCTGCTGTGCAGATCAAAGGAGTCAGCATATGGAAAAATGCAAACATATTAACGCTCTCAAGCTTTACACACTACAGTTTCACTCACCTTTTGTATTTCTCCCAAAGAAACTGGTTTTGGACTCTCAATATTTGCAAAATTTTGTATTTAAACTCAGGCACAGTCTTATGAAAGAGGTTATAAATGATTCGGTAGCTTTTGTCCTCTGGAGAAACAGGCACTTGGATGAAGTCCTGAGAGGGATGCATGTAGACCCATGTCTCAGGGTAAAAGTTTGCCGAGGTAACCCCATCTGGGCAGATGATTTGTGAGGAGGAGGTTGCTTCCAGAGGTGGAGGAGCCTGTGTAGGAACCCCACCAAGTGTCCTGGAAGGGAGAGCAAGGAATGTTAGTGTAAAACTCAGAAATAAGTATTTCTCACATTATAGTGTTCTCTACTTGCTTCTATCCTAATAATCTGTAGAGTTTACATGCTTGTGTTTGAGAAACAAAATACAAATTGCATCTAAAAGAGAACAATCTTAAAGCAAACAATGCCTGTACATGGATAACCTATTATTAGCTTTTTCCTGGCCTTCTCCCTGTGGAGAAACTCTGGAATGTATTGCTGCAAGGCAACAGGCAAGAGCCAATTTATAAATAAATATCTTTCCTTGTGGGATCCTGGATTCCTCTTTTACCTATGTTTAAAGAAATTCTGTGTTAAGGGAGCAACATCCTTTCTACTAAGTTCTTCAAATGTTGCTGCCACTCTGAGAAAAGATGTCATCATTATAGGTTTTATGAGAAGAGGGAATATGGGGTGGGGCAAAGTGGGACAAGTAGGAAAGAGTGAAAAGATAAAACGTTAAAAGTTTTTAAGTTTACTTTGATTCCTCCATTAAAAACAAACAAACGTCATGAAGAACCCATTGAAAGCTGGCATTTGCTTCATTTTCCAAGACCCTATATCACAGATGTCACAATCCTCTTCAAGAGTTGGGTGTACTTAAGATGGAGCTCACTACTGGAGGCTCCAGATGCCAGCGTGCACATCCGTGAATCTCCACATTCAGATCTGTTCTGTGAATGATGAGTTTAAATGACCAGCAGCTTGGACTAATTACTTATTCCTGCCTAGTTAAATGCTTACATTTCAATTTAAGTTATACTTCCTGGCTATTTTCAAAACAGAAAAAAAAGGAAGAGACTGGGAGAAAGGAAATCCCAAGTCTGAGCTCCAGTTTCAGGACCTGGGTGCTGGAACACTCATCAGCACACAGTGGTCACAAGGAAGTAAACTAATGTCTGCCAAAGTGAAGAAATTGGGAAACTGGAATTTTCAAGTTTTGTGACACAGAGATTACCACTGTGTATGAACATGCTTCTATTTCTAAAGAGTGTATCTCACCATCACCCTCAGCATAACCATATCTTATCCTAAACACACACTTTACACTAAGTAACACTAACAATGGCCTGGTTATCACCCCCTTTACAAATAAAGAAGCCGATTCAGAGGGATTAGATCATTTGCTCTAGCGCAGCTAGCAAATGGCAGAAATTGGGAGTGAATTCAGCACTATCTACACACTAGTTCCTAAGAGTTTCCATATTAGTGTCTAATCTTTCTCTCTGCTATATCCTTTACCACGAGCTGTCGAAGGGATCGGGTGTCAGGCATCAAGGAACAAGAAATCATGTGGGTGAGTGCAAAGTGGAGACTCAGGGTCCATCGGTTGGCAACAGAACACCCCCCTACTGAGGGGTTTTGGGGAGGAGATAAGCTAATCAGGGTGCAGGGTAGCAACGATGAAACATATAACTTTCCTCTAGTTCTTTAATGCTCCCCCCCCCCCATCATGATCCCAATTCTGCCTTGCAAATCTGACTAGACCAGAGGATGTACATTGGTACAGATAGCAACTTGAAACACAGGGAATCCAGGATAGATGACTCCTTCAGGACCAGCGGTGAGAGGGGCGAGGCCTGGAGGGTGAAGGGAATGTGGGGTAGAAGGGGGGAGCCAATTACAAGAATCTAAGTATATCCTCCTCCTGGGGAATGGACAGCAGAGAAGAGGGCGGAGGGAGACGTCAGGCAGTGTAACTTATGACAAAACTATAATAATTTATGAATTATGAAGGGCTCAGGAGAGAGGGGGGAGGAGGAGAGGGGGAAAATGAGCAAATGATATTGAGGGATAAAGTAGAGGGCAAATGTTTTGAGATTGATGAGGGCAACAGGTGTTCATATGTGCTCGACTCAGTGAATGTATGTATGGACTGTGATAAGAAATGTACGAGCCCTCAATAAAATAATTTAAAAAAAAAGAATGAGGGTAACAAATGTACAAATGTGCTTTATACAATTGACGTATGTACGGATTGTGATGAGTTGTATGAGCTCCCAATAAAATGACTTAAAAGAAAAAAGTAGGCTTATTCATTAATTAAGTCAACTTCCCCTATTCCTCTCACCCACTCTGGCATTCCAAATTCTTAGGCATTTGATTCCTTGATAATTGTGGCCTCTTCACTTCCTACATTTTTCTTTGACCCTTTAATAACACTTAAAAACAAAGCAAAACAAAAACCTTTCTTCTTGGCTGAGATCACAGGCCTTCTGGAATCCACTTTTGAAATCTGCTTTTTGGGACCAAGCCTAGTTTGCTTTTCCTTCTAAGTCCTGGGTACCCCTCAGCGAGATCGGATCAGAAGAGACCCTGGTGAACTTATCACCTCTCTCCTAGTTGAAGAGTCTGCCTAATCTCTCTGATTTGAGGTCTTACATTATATTTGATTATCCCTGTTCCAATCAGAAAGACAAAACCAAGAAATTTGAAAAAGAAAAGAGAGAAGAGAATGACATTTTTGTCTCTCGTAAGCCTATTTATAAATAGCAAGGCCCTAATTGTGGCATTAACTTTACTGCTGCTTATATATTTTTTTATAAGCCTAAGGCTAAAAAAGAGGGCATTTCATCTTATCTTAGATTCTAAGTCAATTTTCTATTCACTAAAATTCTCCCAACAATGTGAATAATCATTCTTACCCTCACAGAGCAGTTACATCTTGCTTGATTGGCTCAGCATGCCATGCTGCCTATCTCACTAATGAGTTCTGCCACCTCACTAGGAGGTAGTATGTTCCTAACTACTGGGCGTTGACACTTTTTCCAGCTGTGTTAGTGAAATCACAGAAACACCATTTTTATTAGTGCTAATTAAAAAAACAAAAACAAACCATAAAACAACCTACAAGGCAAACACTCCCACAGTTGGCCCTTGAACAAAGTATACATTTACTCTAAGGCAATATGTATGCATCTCTAACAAGGGTTTTGGTTTTGGATACAGAGCATTTCAGAGGTTTTTGTTTGCATTTGGGTGTTTTATGTCCACCTCGCAATCTCACACTCAAGATTTTGCCATAACCATCTGGGAAAGCACCATTTGGGCTTGAAACGCAAAACTACCAGCAAGATGATAAGATCAGCATCTTCACTCAAAGATCTGCAGAGACTAACCAAAACAGTATTTGAGACCTGTTATGTTTATAGTGCCTAGCAAATCTTGTATTTTCACAATCTAGCTCTAAAAACAGTCTATCTGGGCTGGAAGTACATGTTATCCCCAGATACTCTAACTTTCAAAGGTGGCCAGGCTAATGGTGGTGCAGCCCACCTTCTGTCACTATAGAGATGTCAGTGGATATCCTAGAGACAGAAGAACTGGCACTTGGGAAAAAGAGCACACCTATGTGAATCCAGTCTAACTTTTACCAAGAAATGGCTCTCTTCTTACGTATGTGTTTTTAGTGCACATCACAGGAAGAGGTGCCTTCTTTAGTCACAAACGAGAATGCACATTTTTGAAAAGGTGAACTCCTCATTCAAACTCACTCAAGGAAGAATGGAGACCACCAGATCCTGTACTAGCCTCTCCCACGTGTCAAAGCAGTTTACCTGGGCTGGAAAGTCATGTCTCATCAGAAAACTCAATTTCCCATGCTAACTCTGATGCTATGAGTTAGAATAGGCCCTATGGCAGTGGGTTTGGAATTCTATCTCATTTCAAGGAGCATTACTTTTAATTGTGGAAAAATGTTCACTCTGTTTTAGTTTTAATTAAAAAAACAAAACCAAAACAAACTCCAATAGGAAATGGTGCCAGTTTACTACTACTAACTGCTCTAAAAAGGTTCACAGTAAAAGGTCCTGGACAGAGTGGAATAAAAATGTTACTTAAAATCATAAAAGACAAAAAAAAAAATCATAAAAGAGACTAAGCATACCGGTCAGAGAGACTGATGGAACCACCAAGACTTAACTCTCCATGTTGTAATAATCACCATTTAAGACCAAAAGGGCAACATTTACCCAAGGACAAAGGTCAGAGGGTGATGAAAAGTGGGGGATGGAAACAGGAAACAGAAAAGAAGTGGAATAAGCGGTATAATATTGAATGAATTGCAATGAATGAAATTGAACCAGAATGTGAATATGAAATGTAAAACTAGGCTCTGTTCTGTAAACTATTACCTAATCCACAATTAAAATTTTGGGGGTCAAAAAACCTAATAGGACACTTGTTCTTAGTGTTGTTCTTCTAATGAGGTGGTAGAACATTTGGTGAAATAGGTAGCTTGGCATGCTGAGCCAATCCAGTGGGATGAAGATGTAGCTGAATTCTATTTGTTGAAAAATCAAGCCCAAAATCTAATTCGGAAGTTCCCATTCTAGAATTGGCAGTGAGACAGTTTCTTTACTCGTTCTCTGGCACTCAGCAGTGCATTCACGTGAAACGAGTCCAGATGCAGTGCTCCATGGGACACTTACTGCAAATACGGAAGCAGTGTAAAACAGGAGCGGAAAAGAGGTCTCCTTTTTATTTCTCTCCTGAAGAATGAGTTGTGGAGGATATAGTGGTTGTTCCACATCATAAATCGAACTTCTTTAAGCCCTCGAGAGTTGGCTTCTTCAATCAGTCGAATAACAGACTGTGGAGTAAAAAACAGAGGTTACAAAACCGATTACAAGAATCTAAGTACTGCCTCCTCCCTGGGATAGGGACTGCAGAAAAGAGGGCGGGGGGAGACGCGGACAGTGTAACTTATGACAAAACTATAATAAGTCATGAATTATAAAGGGTTCCTGATGGAGGGGGGGTGGGGAGGGAGAGAGAAAATGAGCAACTGATATTAAGGGCTAAAGTGGAAGGCAAATGTTTTGAGAATGATGAGGGCAACAAATGTACATATTTGCTTGACACAATGGATGTATGTATGGATTGCAATAAGAATTGTACGAGCCCCCAATAAAATAATTTAAAAAAAAAAAGAAAGAATCATGGAGAAATATGAAAAATGTAAATGCAACTAGTGGGGGAAAAAAGAGTCAACCCTGCTCTTAATACCAGAGGAATTTCAATAGTGAGTCAAACGAATTCTCTATAATAAGCATTTGCTTTAAAAAATATATAAAATAAGTACTTGTTTTTATGTGGGGTTTTTTTTTGTTTTGTTTTTTATTGGTGTGGTGGAATGGGGTTTGGGTGGCGTGAAAATATCAGACTACAAAAAGATGCACCCTGTTTGGAAGAGCATAGATAGTTACTTTATGAAATGTATGCAGTCTGGGGAACTCTTCTATTCTGTATGAAGTCTTAATAATGTCCTAGAGATTTTTTTTGTTATTTCTTAACAGAAAATTTCCAAAGGAGGGCTTAAAGATGATAATGTATTCAGCTCAAATAAACTAATTAAGAGCCAAACCTAAGAAACCTCTCAGAGGGAAAACACAGGGATAATTCAAATATTTTGAGGATAGTCAAACAAGCATCCTCTCATTTTCTCTGGAAGGTAAGATTGACTACTTGAGAGTCAAAACCGTTTAGGGCCACAGTATTTTACAGCAACCCGATAGCACGGTGATTTAAAAGCTGGGCCGCTAACCACAAGGTCAACAGTTGGAATCCCTCAGTCACTCCCCAGGAGAAAGCAGAGGCTTCTTGCTTTATAGATTGACAGCCTCCGAAATCCACAGGCGCAGTTATACTCTGTCCTTGGAGTCAGAAGTGACCTGAGAGGAATGGCTTTTTTTAATATATCAGAATATCTTATGTTATTTCCTTAAAACAAACAAAAACAAGTGAAGGTAAAAAGATAAAGTCAATTGTGCCTGTTTATAATTCTGGAAATGAATTTACTCAAATTAAGAAGTCAGATCTTTTGGATGTAAAATTAATCTATAAAGTTCATTTCGTTTGAACTTGACATAATTTTCATTAAGGAAAAGTCATCATTTAAAACTTTTGCTGTATGTTTGAGCTATTCTATTATTTGAGAGACTAAGGACGTAGGGCAGGTGGGGCAGAATTTGCAATGACTGGATTTGCCTAACCAGCAATTCAACAAATATTTTTAGTTACTTCCTCCAGGGGACTGAGAGTGACTGTTTTTGACTCCATTTCTAAAATGTACATCGTAAGACGTAAGCCAAGAAGCAGATAAGAGCAGTGGTTCTCAACCTTCCTAAGGCCACAACCCCTTAATACAGTTCATGTTGTTGACCACCAACCATAAAATTATTTTCGTTGCTATTTCATAACTGTAACTTTGCGACTGTTATGAACTGGGCGACCCCTGTGAAAGGGTTGTTTGACCCCCAACGGGGTCGCGACCCACAGGTTGAGAACCGCTGAGATAGAGCATGATATTACCCAGTGCTCACCTCAATAAAATGACTCCAAAAACAGAGCTTGGATCTGACTATTTCCACAGTAAATATTTGGTCTCTACACAAAGTGCTGCCATGAGTAGGAATCAACTCATGAGCAATTGGTTCTTATAGTTTAAGATTCTGGGGAAAACTGATTATGATGATCACACAACTCTTTTTCTTAAATCATTTTGTTGGGGACTTGTACAACTCTTACCACAATCCATACATACATCCATTGTCACACAACTCAATATGACTGAACTACTGAATTATATGGGTCAATTATATGCCACTAAAAAATTAATTTAAAATGATACTGAGGAATGCATCTTATTTCTCATAATGATTCTATTTAAGAACAGATTAATGGAGAGATATATTTTAAGAAAAATTAAGTTGTTCTTCCAACAAAACTCAAGTTGACATCCCTAAGTTCTAGGATTATGATTAACACAACTGTTAGTAGTCATTACTGGAAAGAAAAAGCAGAGGGCAACGAGGAAAAAATTTATATGCATTTATTTTGAAAAAAGAATCTGTAAATACCTCAGGATATTCTCGCCATCCAAAGTGGTCCCTACAGAAGTATTTCCAGACTGTGTGGTAAATAGAGTTAACATTGCTAGTGGGTGGTGTGGACAGCCTTCGTAGTTGGTCAAATTCAGTTGTTTCATACACATTCATGGCATTCAAATCTGCCCAAAATTCTTGTCCTCTGAAAGAGCCATGAAAAATGGTTAATATATTTGCATAGATGTGTCTAAACAGCACATTAAAAGTATTTGGAATAGCTTGTTAAACTTTCAAACGTTGGTCTATTTGGAGTAAAAGGGCACTACTGGTTATTTCCCCATTACCTATTACCTTCATTCCCCTTTTTAACCAGACCGCAAATTTACATTTCATAGAGCTCTGGGAAGATTCATTTTACCCAATATAAATGGCCTAAACGAGGCACCCTCAAACTACAGCCAGTGGGTCACATGAGGCTCGCCAAGGACATTTATCCGGCCCGCCGAATGTTTTTGCCCCGTGTTTTTGTACTTCAAAATAAGATATGTGCAGTGTGCATAGGGACAGTGAACTGGCACCCTGTTTAAAAAGTTTGAGGACCCTGGCCTAAACCAATCAACAGAATCTCATTCTATCTCCAGGATTGGGGCGGGAAGGGATCCAGGTTTTGGTCATTCATGGAATAATCTACAGGATGAAGTAGGAACTGGAAGACAAAAGAAACTTCACTTCAAGTTTCCTATTATTTCAGATGTATCATTTACGTAAGTCAACACAGAATACACGCTATCTCCTACTGAAGACCAGGAAAAAGGGGAAAATATAAAATGTCTCCAGCTGAAGCCAAGTACTTCTAATCCGCTGAACACCAACAATGGGTGGACTTGTGTGATGGAAAATTTGGCAACAATTATACGTAGTAGTTGCACATGATTAATAAATGATATCACTGAACTATACACCTAGAAAATGTTGAACTGGCAAACATTGTGACACACACACATTTACAACAATAAAAAAAATAGGTGAGGAAAATGTTGGCAAAACAAAGGAGAAATAGTTTATTATGAGGTTTTGTATTTGTCATTTTGGCAATGTCCTATTACCAGTGAATCCGTATTTACTAATATTTCAACATTATGGGGGTAAATTCTACTATAGGAATCATGATCATTTTAAGAAATATACTTATAGAAAGGTAGTAAAATGAAAACATTTGAGTTTCTTTTTAAATGAAACTTTATTGTTTGGGACATCGGGAGCACTATGCTAAGAGGGCACATTTCCAATGATCATAAGGCACGATGGACACAATGGCCATTGTGTGCTTTCTTTCTTTTTGTGTATGTATACAAATGCTCCTCAGAACCTGTAAAGTGGGATTTTATAAAGTAGCATCTTAGATACTAGCAGAATAATCCCTCAGCATGGCAAAAGTCACCTTTCTCCACAAGAGAGGTTTTTATCATTGTACTGGGGCTCACACAGCTCCTATCACAGTCCATACATACAGTCAACTGTGTAAACCACGCATACAGTCGTTGCCCTCATCATTCTCAAAACATTTGCTTTCCACTTGGGCTCTAGGAATCAGCTCCTCATTTTTCTTCCCCCCCCCCCTCCCTCATGAACCTTTGATAATAATTTATAAACTATTATTTTATCATATCTTACACTGCAATGGCCACCTACAGCACACAGAAGCAGGTTCAGAGAGCATTCAGAATGACTCCAAGTGCACCATCACAGAATCAATTCCAACTTACACCAAGCCGACAGGACAGAGAACTACAACCTCAGGTTTCCAAGACTAAAACTTTTTGGAAGTTGATCGCCTCTCCCATCCTCAGACTTTGTGGTTAGCAGCTCAGATTTTCCAAGTAATTATTATTTCTTTGTTTGAAATTGGGATTCTACAGAGTACTAATCTTGGCCTATAGGTTTTTGGGGTTTTTTTTAGCCTACAGAGAGTAGTTTATTCCACAAATGTCAGTGGATCAGTTCCATTTGTAATACAATGCAGTTGTTAGAAAGAGTATAGATAGCATGTTTGTCACTATAAACACTAGACTAGTTTTAAAAAATTCATCATTTCAACTATCTACTTAGTTTGGCATAACAAAGAACTGGCTTAAAATGCAGATTCCCTCTGCTTTATTTATTTTATTTTTAAATTTGGGCTTTTAATATTGAGATGCCTATTATTTAACCAATTGGAGGAGTTAAGAAGGAAGCTGTGCACATCAGGTAAAGTCAGGGGTCACCAGTATTTAAAGCAGTTGCCATGGAGTTGATTTTCACTCCTGGTGATCCCGTGTGTATCAGATACTCCCTAGGGTTTTTTAAATCATTTTATTAGGGGCTCACACAACTCTTATCACAATCCTTACACACATCAGTTGTGTAAAGCACATTTGTACATTCATTGCCCTCATCATTCTCAAAATATTTGCTCTTCACCCAAGCCCCTGGCATCAGCTCCTCACCACCACCACCCTCCCTCATGAACCCTTGATAATTTATAAATTATTATTTTGTCATATCTTACACTGTCCAATGCCTCCCCTCACCCACTTCTCTGCTGTCCGTCCCCCAGGGAGGAGGTTATACGTAGATCCTTGTAATCGGTTCCCCCTTTCCACCTCACCCTCCATCCACCCTCCCGGTATGACCACTCTCGCCACCAGTCCAGAAGGGATCATATGCCCTGGATTTCCTGTGTTTCCAGTTCCCATCCGTACCAGTGTACATCCTCCAGTCCTGCCAGATTTGCAAGTTAGAATTGGGATCATGATAGTTGGGGGTTGGAAGCATTTAGGAACTAGAGCAAAGTCGTATGTTTCATCGTTGCTACACTGCACCCTGACTGACTAGTCTCCACCCTGTGACCCTTCCATAAGGGGATGTCCAATTGCCTACAGATGGACTTTGGGTCTCCACTCCGCACTCTCCCTCATTCACAATGGTA